AAACTCGTCTTACCATTGGCACCATCCTTAGCCTTTTGCAGCTCTGTCTTGGCCAGCTCCAAGTCAAGGCTCAGTTGGATCTGATGTTTCTCCAAATCAGCAAAGCAAGCTCCCAGATCACAAGATTTCTGCAATCAAAGAGGAGAAGCTATTTTACAGTGAAAAACAACAAAGGCAATAAATACTAAGACTACGGTCGACTACCCGCAGTCCACCATAGTCTCGGGGACTACACCCAGTGGGTGCACTTTGCGTGCCCCCACCGGTTCTGATCCCACTCGACCGGTCCGCCGAAGTCGAGTCCAAAAAAAGAAGGCAGAAAGAGAGGAAGTAGAACTCAGACTACAGTCGACTGCCAGCAGTCCACCGTAGTCTCGGGGACTACACCCAGTGGGTGCACTTTGCGTGCCCCCACCGGTTCTGATCCCACTCGACCAGATCGAGTGGAAGAGACAAACTACCAGTTTGGTTTATACATTCGAAAAAATACAACGACTACAGTCGACTGCCAGCAGTCCACGGTAGTCTCGGGGACTACACCCAGTGGGTGCACTCAGCGTGCCCCCACCGGTTCAAAAATTTCAATCGACGCACCCAGTGGGTGTACAGATGCAAAGATTTTCCGGAAAGAGTCTTTAGATAGCATATCCTAACAGAATAAGCAGTGACCAATTAACCTGAACATTGCTTTGGAGGGCCGAGCTGGCGTCGTAGGCAGCCTGACCGGCGTCACACACCACCCTCATCTTCTCCATCATGATGCCCGCCTGACGTATGGCTTCCTTGGCAGCATTCGCTTCGTCCTCCGGGACATGATGGGTCGCAAAAACTGAAGGTGGGTCGACAGGAGCCTGAGCAGTCGATGAAGAGGGCAAGGCACTCGACAGTGGCACATCAAAGGTAACAGAACCCCGATTGGCGTCGCCAGTATCCTGAACAACTGGTTCCGTCCTTGGCGTCGACTGTGGCGCCTCGCTTGTAGGAGCCTGCCTACTCTTCCTCGTCAAAGGCCTCTCGGGCTCTTCATCATCATCGGGGAGGTCAATAATGTTGGGAGCTATGCAAAGTTCAATTGCCAAAACCACATCACCCAATGATGCACATTGTAGTTGAATCGACCAAACAAAGACAGTATGGTGGAAATCATACCTGGACTAGAAGTAACCGCATCCTCCATCACCTCATCATCGTCCCTGTAAGCTGAGGTCCCTGAAGTGGCAGCGCTGATAGTTCCAAAGTCCATCCGGTTAAAACAAGAAAAACAAACAGCGTGAAGCGTCGAGTGAATACGAAAGGAGACACTCACGCGGAAGCAACGGGGATGTCAATCTTAATCTTCGGCAACGCCTTCTGAGTCTTCAGCTCTGCAACTTTGGGGTGCTTTGGCACTTTCTCAGTCGGGGTTGGTGAAGAGACCCGAGGACGCTTCGAAGACTGACTAGCCTGAGCAGTTACCTTTTCACGGGCACTCGATCGTTCTTGGTCGAGCTTGGATCGCCTCTCCTGGCGAGGAGGTGACTCGACTTCTTCTCCATCACTTGAGTCGTCGCTTCCTCCACCCCCTTCACCGTCAGAAGTCCACTCACCACTGTCGCCGCCGCTCGCCTCGCCTTCCAGAGCTTGCTCTTGCTCTCCGTTGGGCATCGAATACATTTCAATAATGGCCTGAAAGAAAGCAGGGAGAACAAAGTCAGTCGACGCAGTGTATGCAGGAGCGAATTCAAATTACAAAGCAAAAACTCAGAATCAAACCTTCTCTGGTGCATGAGACTGGTCAAATGGAGGGACTCTCCTGGCTCCCCTGGGGTTGTCCTTGTTCCCGGTAATGCCCGACAGCCACTTCTCCAGGGTGTCGTCGTCGACCTCCTCCGGGTGGATCCGAGTGGAGTCTTCAAGACCCGAATACATCCACATCGGATGGTCTCGGGCTTGAAGAGGCTGGATGCGCCACTGAAGGAAGACCTCCAAGAGATCCATACCGGTGACCCCATCACGGATAAGCTGGACCACTCGATCGACCAGCACCCTCATTTGCGCCTTGTCCTCCGAGAGCACCTTCAAAGGGGAGGGTTTCCTCACTCGGTCCATGGTAAAGGGAGGGAGGCCAATCGACTGCCCTGGCGTCGACTGGTCCTTACAGTAAAACCAGGTCGACTGCCATCCGCGGACTGAGTCAGGAAGAATCATGGCCGGAAAAGAACTTTTCCCTCTCATCTGGATACTAAGACCCCCACACATCTGAATCACTTGCGTCCTCTCGTCACTCGGGTTAGCCTTTTTCACCGTCCGGGAGCGACAAGTGAAAATGTGCTTGAAAAGACCCCAGTGAGGCCGGCAACCCAGGAAGTTCTCACACAAAGAAATGAAAGCGGCGAGATAAACGATTGTGTTGGGAGTAAAGTGGTGGAGTTGTGCCCCAAAGAAGTTCAGAAACCCTTGAAAGAAAGGGTGAGGAGGCAAGGAAAATCCACAGTCGACGTGGGTGGCAAGAAGAACACGCTCACCCTCCCGAGGTTGCGGCTCAGATTCCTTTCCCGGAAGCCGCGCCGTGTCATAGGGGATCAGCCCCCCTTCGGCCAGGTCGTCGAGGTCTTCTTAGGTGATCCTCGAGTGGATCTAGTCACCCTGGATCCAGCCCTTCGGCAGGCCGGTTCGCGAGGAAGATCCGCCCCGGCTGGTCGCCTTCCCCTTCGACCTCGCACTCGCCTTCTTTGCCCGCTCCAGAGCCGCCGTCCTCTCCTTCCCCATTGTCGCCGGCGAGACGCGTACGGAGCGGTGGTGCTGGGGCGAGAGCGAGCGCAGCGGAGGGGCGTGGAGAGGAGAAGAGGTAATGGGAACACACTGTTCGGGAGACTACGGTCCAACGCCTTATATGAGGCCGCTTCCGAGTGGCTGACGGGTAGGCCCAGGCGGCTCTGTCAAATCCCGTAACAATCGCGCACGCGATACGTGGCGAAAAAGGTGACGCGGGAATCGAGGCGGCTCCGCTCTATCCCATCCGATTACTGCGGCCTCCCCTGTCCCGCGCGCTTCCCAAAATTCGGATCCCACGAAATCCGCGGACAGCAGAACAACTTGTCAAACCAAAGATCTCCTCCGCACCATCACTCGGAGCCTTTCGAGTAAAGAAACTCACTCGACGAAGAATTAAGAATGGATCAAGGCAACTGGAAAGGAAGCCGCTGTCAACACTCGGATTCATTGACCCGAAACAAGGTATGCTCGCGGCATGAAAAACGAGTCGGAAAAATGCTCAAACCCTGTCCCACTCAAACCTCGATCCATTCGGGGGCTAATGATGAAGCTGTGTACCTAGGGTAGGGTCATGGAGCTGTCCAAACTGACCTACCCAAGGACATCTCCAGAAGAAATCATCTTTCAATCGACTTGAAGGCGTCTCACTCGACAGACTTGAAGATACTCGACCAAGAAGCAATCACTCAACCAAGACCAAGCCACTCGACGGTTAGGTGGCCTAAAGGCACTCCGCATGCTAACGGTCGGTTATTAAGTAGCTTTTATGGTCATCATAGCACTTTATTACTAGCGTTACCAGTAATGCCCTGCCTTAATGTACATTGAACCCTTTGTAACGTGGGTCGGCTGGGGTCCTGGCGCACTCTATATAAGCCACCCCCCTCCTCCGAGACAAGGGTTCGCACCCCTATAATTCATACTCTCATAATCCAGTCGACCGCCTCCGGGCTCCGAGACGTAGGGCTATTACTTCCTCCGAAAAGGGTCTGAACTCGTAAACCTTGCGTTCTTACAACTCCTCCATAGCTAAGATCTTGCCTCTCCATACTTGCCCCCTACACTACTGTCAGACTTGGAACCACGACATGGAGTGCTTTGCTATTTTCCCTTGTGATTCTAGTTTTGCTCCCATGTTGGAGCGGCCGAATCAGGAACATGCCACCTACTGATTTCATCACACGTGCAATGCTTAATTGACCAAAATAACAACATAAATAACCTTTTATTTCTTAAAGTCAAGCTCCATGACTTTGCTAATTCATACTACTAATTCATGTCTTCAGAGTTTACGCATGTCATCTCTGATCACTGTAATAGGGAGAGTAATCAAGTAGCTCATGAACTAGTTAAGGCTGGTCATAGTGGGGAGTAACTTAGACTAGTGTCATGTATATGACACTAGCCTAAGTTACTATCTTCATAATGCAAAGTAACATAATAGTATTATCTTAGATTGCTTCATTTATTAGCTTGTAGACTCATCGTGTCTTGAAAATCGCTATGTTACAGTAACATATTATGTTACCACCTCTCATTAATTACTTGCCACATAAGCAACAATTTTTTTGGAGTGCGCTATGTTACTAGCTAAGTTACTCCCACTATGACTAACCTAAGGCTGGTTGTAATGGGGAGTATCATATACTAGTATCATGCATATGATACTAGTGTATAATACCACCTCCCTAATGCATAGTATCATATATTAGTATCATGTAGTACTTTATTTATTGACATGCATGACACAAAGTAGCATAACATTTATTATGATACGGTATCATGATATGATACTACACCCTCTTTTTCTTCATTTAATGCTATGCCACCTCATCAAAATTACCTAGTTGGCATGCATGATACTAGTTATGATACTATCATTACGACCAGCCTAAATTAGCTAGATTCTCTTCCTAATCACTGGATGGACTCCGCCCCCGAGGGCCTCATCCCCATGCTTGTAAACGATGCTACGATTCTTATAACTGTGTCGATTCCTTTTACTGAAAATGCCAACTGTCCTCACGACAACAGGGCAATGAACATGGATAACTCGTATTGTTATAACTTAGAACAACTCACATCAACCAACAATTGCTTGGACACCCACAAGAAAGTACTCCCTCCGTTCCGAATTACTTGTCGCAGGTATGGATGTATCTAGATGTATTTTAGTTCTAGATACATCCATTTCTGCGACGAGTAATTTGGAACGGAGGGAGTACGTACATGGTAACCTTCAGACCTCAGAGCTTACTACAGTCGGTGGGGACAAATGACATTTGCCCTACGGTGATGTCAAACAGCAAATGTATGTTCTGCTGCTGGAAATTGCCGAGCACTGAAGTCGAAGTCGACGTCGCCCCAGCAATGTTTAAGCAGAACGACGAGTCCTCTCCGTCGAAAGACATGTAGTTGTCCCTGTGCAGCGTCATATCCGCACCGCCGGCGAAGTGCAGCACCATGTCCGGCATGGCCGGGAGCTGCCGCTCACCGGCGGGAGCCGGGAAGCAGGGGTTGTCCAGGCTCGTGGCGTTCACCGCCGGCTGGCCGAGCACCTCGGCCACGTGGTTGGCGACCACCCTGAAAGCACTTTCTACGAGGATCGTGAAGATGGTGCCGGAGTCCACGATCATCCCGCCGGTGCCGTCGGCGCGCAGCGCGAACGTCTGGTTCGGGATCGGCAGGCGGGTGTCGCCGAGCGATATGCCCTCGAGGGAGACGTAGTACCGGGACGGGCTCTGCGGGCTCTGCAGTAGGGGCGTCGACTGCACGGCGGCGTCGCCACTGGTAGCCAGCTCCGCGACGGAGCCGAACAGGACCGGGCTGCCCAGGCTGGTGTTGAAGAAGTCGGTGAGGCAGTAGCTGAACTTGCCGACCCCTAGCTGCGCCACGAGGGACAGGCTCCCGCGGCCGAGGCCGACCGTCCCGGTGGAGTTGTACGAGTCGCCCCCGTTGTCCGTGCCGCAGCCGAACGCGACGCCTCCGGCGGAGGCGGCCGGTGCTTCGCCGGGAGTGCTAGAGCCGAAGGTGAGCGTCTCCGTGCCCAGGCCGCCAGCCGAGTAGGCGCCGTCGCCGTACGCGTAGCGGTACCTGCAGAGCGCGGAAGGGGTGCAGTTGCGGCTCCATATGGGCAGGCACGTGGCGCTGGAGCAGGGCATAGGGGAGAAACTGGAGGAGGTGGTCGGATCGTAGACGGGCGTGTCCTGCGGGAAGCAGAGCTTGCACGGCTGGCACTGCGTCCAGGTAAGGTCGCTGCCGGTGTCGGCGAGGGCGACGAACGGCACCGGCGGCGTCCCGATGGCGAGCTCCATGAGGTACTCGGCCTGGCCCGAGCGGAGCCTTGGCCCGGTGCTCGACATGGAAGACGTCGTGGAATAACCCGGTAGCGTCGTGGCCGCTCGGAGGCGGCTTCTGTGCACGGCTCGGCGCATCAGCTGCGCCTTGGTGAAGCCGAGTTTGGAGTCAATGTGGGTGAGCGTGGAGCGGTAGCTGGACGGTGGCGGCGCCGCCGAGTTGGCTAGTGAGGCAAGTAGGAGCAAGCTCAGAGCTTGTAAAGGACCCATGGAATCGAGCGTATGGATGATCAGTGCTGAAACTTGCAAGTCTTTTTATAGGAAGGTTTCACCAAGAATGAATGACAACAGTAAGTAGTAGAGCATTAACGAAATCGTTACACTACTCCGATCTTTAGCATGCAGACGTAGATGTCGTCATCAAGGGCGGAATAAGCTATGGAGCAGAGCATAGGACGGCCGTCTGCCCATATTGTTGGCGCTAACCGCCTCCTAGCCCCTACTGCCTCGGAGTCCTCCGGCCTCTAAACCTCGTGCCGCCATTTGGCCACCGATGTGCAGAGCTACAGCAAAGACTGGAAGAAGAAGAAACGAGCTGGCTAGGATGGAAGGGGCCTTCAGCTTTAGGCTTAAGTAGTTCGGTTGCTAGCTAGCTAACACTAGTGACTAGTGCCTTCATGACCATCTTGTTTTATCTCACATTGTGTGCAAAGATAATGTCGGTAAAAAAAATCGGTAAAATAAGCCCAACATGTACGTTTTTTTTACCGATTTGCCCTCCATCGGTAAAATAATCGGTAAAATCACTAGTATAGGGGGGCCAAATCGGTAAAAAAAATGTCGAGTTGTATCATAATAATGTGTCGCTTTCCACGAAAATAAAAAGTAGTTATTCATATTAAGAATTTCACTATATTACATTTAGATGTGAGATAATATCTAAATTATGACATCAGCGGAAATTATCACACACTGTGCCGCTCATGAATTGAACTCACAACTCAGGACCACGTACAGAGCAACAGTGGCAACTATCACTCCACCCGATAGCTAACGGTGATAACTAAGTAACGGCAAATATTTAAGTACATAGTACAGCGTCGATATTAGAAGACATTTTAGAAATTTTTTGAAACCTTTTTCCATAAATTGTTCACAATTTTGAAATATACAATATTTTTGCAAACACAAACAGTTTTAAAATTTCAAAAGTCTTTTTTAATGTGAATAGAATTTATAATTCCCAATTTTTTTTGAAAAATAAGAACACAATTTGGTATTCCGAACAATTTCTTCACGGACAAATTTTAAAAAATTGAACAATTTTTGAAAATCCCCGAACAATTTTAAAGTGGGGACACTTTTAAAAATTCCAAACCTTTTTTCAAAAGCATGAATAAATTTAATTTTTTAATCATAAATTTCAATAACAAAGATTGCTTGCACCATTTAAAAATGCTAACATTTGAAAATGTTCATGATTTAAAAAGAATGTTTGTGATGTTTAAAAAATGTATTGTACAATGAAAAAATCATAGCATTCAAAGAAATGTCCGTGACAACTTTTTAAATGAAACATCATGCATTTAAAAAAAATCACAACATTTTCTTGAAAAATTGTTTTATGCAATTTTAAAAAAATGTTTGTGTATTTTTTTTTGAAAAGTCTCATACCATTTTGAAAAATGATCACCAGGAATTTGAAAAATGTTTACCTTGTATTCTAAAAAATGCCCGGGCCTGTATTTGAAAATAATATTCATCATGTATTTAAAAATAATGTTTGATGTGTGTTAGAAAAATGTTTCCTATGTATACAGGAAAATATACAATGCGTATTGCAAAAGTTGACATGTATTTCCCCAAAAAAATACAACTATATAGGTGTATTGGGTTGGGAACGAGTTGCATGCCGAAAATGGACATGCAACTATGTCGGGCATGAGTTGCATGTTTGGGTTGGACATGCAACTGGGTCGTGTGGGTTTATGTGTTGGGGTACAACATGAAACTAGATAGGGCTCGGGGCAAGTTACTGCTGAAAAACAAAGCACAAGCCTAGTTGTGAGCCAAGGGTGGGCTTGCAACTGGTAGAACTACGAGTTGAGTATCGAGTCGGGGTGGACTTACAACTGGGACAACTATAAATTATGAGACCAGTTGTGAGTCAAGGTTCGACTTGCAACTTGGATAAAACAAATTATGGTTCTAGTTGCGAGTCAAGGGCGGACTTGCAACTAGGATGAAAGACAAAAACACAAGCCTAGTTGTGAGTCAGGGTGGGCTTGAACCTGGGATAAAACAAACTACATGACTAGTTATGAGTCGAGGGTGGACTTGTAACTTAGACACGTATATCAAACATGACACCGAGTCGCGAGTTGAGAGTGGACTTGCAATTGAAAATCAAAACCAAATCACATGCCCAGTCGCGAGTCGAGGGTGGACTTGCAACTAGGACAACAACAAACTATGTGCCCAATTGAGAGCCGAGGGTGGACTTGCAACCGGGACAACAATAAAACTATGATCCAATGTGCGAGTCGAGGATGGACTTGCATTTAAGAAAACTATGAAACAACGAGACCAGTTGCGAGTCAAGGGTTGACTTGCAACTTGGATGAAACATACTATGGTCCCAACTATGAGTCGAGGGTGGACTTGCAACTGGGTTGAAAAGCAAAACACATACCTAGATGCGAGTCGAGGGTGGGCTTGCAACTGGGAGAACTATGAGCCTAGTTGCGAGTCGAAGGTGGACTTGCAACTGCGACAACTACGAAACTATGAGCCAATTGCGAGTCAAGGGCGGACTTGCAACTGGGATGCTACAAACTACAAACTACAATCACAATTGCGAGTCAACAATGGACTTGCAACTGGGATGAAAAACAAAACACATGCCCGGTTGTGAGTGAAGGGTGGGCTTGCAACTAGGATAAAATAAACTACGGGCCTAGTTGCGAGTCGAGAGTGGCTTGTATCTGAGACTACTATATAAAACTATGATACAAGTTGCTAGTCGATGATGAATTTGCAACTGGGACAAAAATGGGTCGCCTCCCCTGGGTAGCGTGTTGAGGATGGATTTGCAATTGGAAAAAAGCTGGTCCATTTGCATGTTGGAGGTTGAATTGCAACTCGAATAAGATGGATGGGCCTCTAGTTATGTGCCGAGGATGTACTTGTAATAGGGACAAAAATATATGTCGGGCCAAGTTGCATGTCAGGGGTGAACATGCAACTTGGCAGAAAAACTGTTGCCCCCAAAGTTGCATGTCGATGGAGTTGCAACTATGATGAAAAATAGGCCGGACCCAGATGTATGTCGGTGGTGGACTTACAAATGGCACAAAAGGGTCTCCCCCTCCCCTAGTTGCATATAGAGGATGTAACTGCAAATAGGCAAAAGTAGGCACAATAGTGTGACGCCCGGATAATTAGGCTACAGTAACCCCACGTTAACGATGCCACGTCACCATGGTTACTGTTGTTAATCTTGCGTTAGTTCAAAACCGATTCAAATTCAAAATTGAATTAAAGGCAAACAACAAAAGTTTTCAAACTTTAAAACTAAAATGTCTGGATTGTGCCAAGTAATGCAAAGTTAATTGTGGTGAGGAAACACCACTTTTATAAAATGTTTTAATACTCTAAAATGATTAAAACAGCAGTTGAAACGATTAAATAAGTGCCTTTGATATTTTATAAAATCATAAACTATTTTATTTTGAGGTGAAACTTTTTAGGGTAGTGGGTTACTTTGAAACATTATTTTTGAAGCTAAGTGTATATTTTACTAAAACTAAAATAATTGGAAATAAAGTAAAACAGTAAAAAGTAGATAAACCAAAAAGAACAGAAAAGTAGTAAAAAAAAAAACCCGGCCAACTGGGCCAAACGGCCAAGCCGGCCAGCCCTCTAACCTAGCCGGCCCACCCCACTCCATTAACTCCCCTGGGCGACCGAACCCAAACCCTAGCGCACCCCACTCCCCCACTCGTCCCACCCCGCGCGTCTCCCTCGCTCCCCCCGATCTGGATCGGGGGAAACGGCGCCCCGACACCGCC